TTGGCAGATTCTGTTGCTTCTCTTTAAACACAGGGTTATAACTATCCACATATTATAACTATATAATCCACAGGGTTATAACTATTGAACTCATATGGACATAAAATTCAATTTCTTGTGGCCAAGTTACTGTAAGAGTGTCAGCCCCTAATTGGTATAGTCAGCATTATTTAGAAAAAAGGATTTCTTTCCATGTCTTTCTGCTATTACCCTTTCCTGCAAGACTCCTCCTCTCCTACTTTTTGTTTTAGCCATACTAGCGCCACTCCTCTTGCTCCAGTATTGCTTCTTCCTCTTGTCTTTCACAATGGCACTAGTCAACATTGGTTGCTCTTTCCACTAAACACCTATGACACTTGAAACAAAACCCCTCATTTGACAACAACCCAGTACAAATACTATACTTAAAGGCACACTGCCTGAAAATAAAGTAGCCAGCTGAAAAATGTCAGTTTTCTTTATTTAACTAGTTGTTGCAATTTATTTAATTCATCATTTTAGGTGGATGCACTATTTCCCCTACTTGAGGATATCGTAATTAATTCATATTATATACTTCCTTGCTATTATTAAGCATACTCACAAACATGCTCCATAAATGGAAGGTGGCAAAGAGCATATTTGCTGAATATCCAAAAAAAGTATAAAAGATTTTTGACAATATATATTAAGTTCAAAAAGTATTTTAATAATCAAAAGGTGAAACAATACAAAATTTTCTGATTTCTTTCCAACTGTTTGATTAGCAACATAAAGATAAAACATTAAAAATATTTCCTACCTTTAAAGGAGTACTTAGTTTATCATTTAAAGAAGCAATTACATTAGGATAAAAAAAATCCCCAACTCATTCCAGGGAAATGAACCAACAAAAAATTAACATCGGTTAAGACTTGGAAAGATACTTGTATAGATTTACAAACTGCAAATGTGCAGAACTTTGTTCATTTCTCTTTCTTTAAGGGGATAAACAGCTAAACTAATTTGATTTTTCCAGATCTGCACATTTTATAATAGATTGGAATCCTGAGGGTACTAACAACAGATGGATGATTGTGTTATTCTAATTTCAGCTACCTTAGGGTTTAAGCAAGCTGTCATTTTTAAAAAGACAATCAATTTCTCATTTCAAGAAACATGAAAAAATACTGAATATATCCATCCAGCATTTTCTTTTTTATATCAAAACATGGTTTTTATTTATTTAAAGTAAATACAGTGAAATTTTACAATAGGAAATCATTGTTCCACCAGCCTCTCCCAAACAAAAAAGGGGTGAAGGGTGAGGATATCTAAAGCCATGGTTAGAAAATGATATTAACAACAAGTTTACCATATCATAATAACATATATTATACAATCAAAGAGGAAGTGACTTTATTTTTGGCTGTACTCTAAAATTCCAGTGGAGAGCTATTCAGTTAGAGCCTTTGAAGAATTTAAATTCACATTTGGGGTTTATCTGCCTAGATAATACATTCAAAAGAGCCAACATCTGAGATCTCTCACATCATAATTTAGAAATTCTACAAAGGGCACTGAATATATACACACTGAGCAATTAGTCTTGTTGAGTATTTAGATTATGTATACAACATAATGTTAATTTCAGATTATCTACAGAAAATATGATATAATATAACAATGTGCCAAGGAGAGCTATAGAAATTGGAGATTATAGTGAAGACTAGGGAGATACCCCCTCTGGCCATGCAAATCTCCATAATTATCACTTCTTATTTCCTTTCATACTCATAGACTTGACCATTCATCCCTGTATCTCTTCATACACATTTTCAGGTTTATTCATAAAGTTATAATTTTCTTCACAAATGTTTTTCTTCGAAACTCTCCTCACAATGTCTGTTTTCTTTCCTCTGTACCTCAGTCTCCTGATTTTAAAAGTGATGATTATGCCTACTGCAAAGAGCAGTTATAGGGTTGAATAATATAATACACATTATGTACTTCGGCACACTATTTAACTCGCAAGAGGTACTCAGTAGGTATCAACTGCCTTCACCTACCTTAATCCCTATTTAATGCTACCTTACATTTTCTTCTCATTTCTTTGTTCTCATTTTCTTAAGTTCTCTTTTATCCCTTTGCCAAATTTGCATTAAAGGGGCTGTGTAAATAATTAGGTATATGTTCATATGTGTATTTGTAAATACCAATATATTTAGAATTATTACACAAATGTATTGGTGTGAATACAGATGCTGATGTTACAGTTTATATATTTAATTCAATAAAGATATATCAAATACTATACCGAAGGTACAAAGGAGTTTGAGACCTAATGGAATAATTTGAACTAGCCACATACAATATAATAAATATCAAAATGGTAGATTAAGGTGAATATAATGAGCAGAGAAGAGGAATATCTACTTCGGAGTAAGAGGGAAGTGAACATTTTAGCTGCAACTTTACAGTTAAGTTTTACATTATCATATGGGGGAAGAAAAGCTCATCTAGAAGGAACAGGAGGAGCAAAGTTTCAGTGGCATGAATGCACAGGGGGCCTTTGATCAGTGGTGAGTAATAGGACCAGAAGGATAGGCTGGACCAGACTGGAAGCATATATTTTTCTTTTTAAGGAAATATGATGTATAGTGTCTAACTTGAATAAATATTTAAATGAGGATTTCTTCAGCAAACAGAGAAGTCATATTACCCTTATAAGGAAGAGGAACAATATCCCTTGATTATTTTCATAAGTCTCTGCTACTTCTCTACTTTACTGACCCTCATGCCTGGAGATTCACCTCTGGCAGATTTCAGTTCTGCACTCTAGTTCATCCTTTACACGGTCACTAAAATAATCTTCCTAAAGTACAGATGAGTCAAGTAAAGCTTCTGCTCAGAAATCTTAGAGGGTTTAATCTATTGCCTGTTAGAATTAAGACAAACTGATTGGCACTGTTTATAAAGCCCTCCCTCCTTCATTCTTTTAGCTATTCTTTCTTTTATTTGTCAAATATTTCTTAACACTGTCATTCTAGTTGCAGAGGATGTGACAGATAAGACATAAAAACTATGCTACAAGAGTTTACTGTCACATGAAGAATTAGACATTAAGTCAGAATATGAGAAAGACATTACAGAGATGCATATTGGCTTTATACACTAAGCTGATGATTTAGCAATATATATTTCCAGCCAACACCTTTCCCCTAAATTCCAGATTCAAATATCCAATGTATAAAAAATACGTTCATTTAAATATATAACAAGTATCTAAAACATAACATAAAAGCAAGCTCTTCACCTCCTCTTTCCAACTTATTTTTTCCCCCATTCTTCTTTATCTCAGTGTATGATAACTTAATCCTTCCAGTGGCTTGGATCAATAACTTGGAGTCTTCTTTGATTCCTTCTTTCTCTCACATGCCATTGTCAATGTGTTACTCAATTCTGTTGGCTCGATCATCAAAATATACCCAGACTCCAAATACTATCTCCCACTGACATCCACATCCAAACCATTACCACTTTTCATGTGGATCTTCTTAATAGCTTCCTACTTCATCTCCCTGCCTTAGCCCTCTTCCTCCCTTCAATCTTTGCTCAACATAGCTGCCACAGCAATCTTTTTGTAAAAATGTAAATCAGAGCCTGTGTGGCTATGTTCAAGACCCTGCAGTGACTTTTAAAAACCCTCTATCATCCTTCCCTCTCTGACTTCAATACCGACAATGCTTCTTACATACTCATGTTCAGCCATACTTGTCTCTTTCCTGGTCAACAGCTGGAATTTCCTCTCCTGAAAACATCTACATATCTTTCTCCCAACTCTGCTAGTCTGAACACGATTTAATAATGTAACCCCCATCCCAAGCTAGAACTCCCTAGCCCTCTTTCCTGCTTGGCATTTCTCATTCACCACCATACTATTTGATCTACTAAAGATTGTCTGTCTTCCCATAAGAAGGCAAAATCTTTTCCCTCTTTTATTTATTGCTGTGTCTAAATGCTTATAAAAATTCTATATGCATTTCATAAATGAATGTGTCTTTGGGTGGGGGAAAGGAGAAGCTGGCAGTCCTGCTAATAGTTTAGTGTTCCTGAAAAATAAACAGAAGGCATGGAGAGAAAGATACGATGCCAGAGAGAAAGAAAAGGGAAAAAAATGTAAGGCTTTGGGTATCATGGAAAGAAGTTTAGATTTTATGCCGTGGTCAATGGGGATCTTCCAAGGGGTAGAGGAATGAGTAGGTCACATTTGTACTTCAAAGATCACTTTGAAAGCAGCATAAAGAATACCTTTGAAAAGAAATCAGATTCTAATCAGCGACACCAGGAAAAGAGGCTGTTGTAATACCCTAGGCAAGAAGTAATGGTGGCCTGAACAAAGAAGAGATCAATTAAGTAGATAAATTTGAGATCTATTAAGAACAGAGAATTAACATAGTTTGGTAATTGAGAAGAAAATATGGACTTAGATCATTTTTCAGTTTCCAGTTTAGATGGACAGTAGATGACTGTATTGCCCACCAAAACAGATAATGTAGAAAAACGATATACGTTAATAAGGTATGATGAGGTGAGGGCCCTGCTAGACATTTCCAGTTTGAGGGTTTCTGCAGCACATCCAGGTGATGTTTACCTATTAAGCAGTGAAGCTTATAGTAGATCTCTGAATAGAAGATGTGAATTTTGAAGTTATCAATATATGAGATAGGTAAAATAATACAAACAAATGAGATCCTAGAGGATAGTGGATAGAATCAAAAGAGAGGAAGACACTGCCTTAATGAAAAACAACTTTTGATGGGTAGACAGGAAAAAAAGAGGTCAAAAGGAGTTAGCAGGTTACAAGAAAACCCAACTATTTGCACAAAAGATATTGAAAGACATTCATACTGTACAAAGCACAAAGTGAGAAATTTTTAAGATGAGAAACCTTGTGCATATTTTTAATCTAATTAGACAGCTCTATGAAATACTATTTTTTAGATAATTGTTTTTCAAAATCCAAGATGCTCAAAACATACCTGTATATTCCACTGAGGGGAAGTAGCATTCAGAGAGGTTTTCAGAGAGATGAAGCACAAATTTTTCAAGCAATTCCTGTAAAGCTGTAATTAACAAGAGAAAAATTAGGATATTAAAGGTCAAGAATAATACATGATAATGTATCTCTAAAGTCACAGACTAGTAGATAAAAGTCATCTGAACTTCTTCAGTTATACTCTTAAGGAGGTCCAATTCAAAACACATACCACTTTAATATTCATAACAATGTTTCTCATGTAAATTAAATTTTAATTGCTTCACTGAGAACCTATTCAATGTAAAACTGGAAAAGAATCATCTGTTATCTTTAGATTCTCAAAGGATTACTTCAGAATTTGCTAAATGATTTTGATACAGAAAGAAAATCATCACTAATTAGGCTATAATATCTTATCATCATTATTCACACATACAGAAAAAAATTTTCTGAACTCCAAGACCACAATCAAGGCATAACAACTCCCTTCCCTTTCAAGACAGGACATACTAATATGTTTTATACACTTTGCAACTTTGTATCTGTTCGAGGCAACTGGATCATAAGTAAACTTGTCAGTATGTGGGTGGAGGGAAGGATGCAAAGGCAGAACACAGGATTTTTAGGGCAGTGACACTCTTTTCTATGACACAACAATGGTGGATAAATTTCTCCATTATACTTTTGTCAAAACTGATAGAATGTGCAAACACCAAGAGTGAACCCTAATGTAAACTATGGACTTTGGATGATAATGATGTGTCAGTGTAGGTACATTGATTATAACAAGTGTATCACCTGATGTGAGATGTTTATAGTAAGGGAGGTTGTGCATGTGTAAGGCATAGAACATATATGGGAACTCTGTGTACTTTCTGCTCAATTTTGCAGTAAATCTGAAATTGCTCTAAAAAATAGAGTTCATTAATTTTTTTAAAAAGTTGGAAAAGATGCCTATCAGTGAAACAATAAAGAACTGTGTCCAAAAAAAAAAAGTAAGCTTTTCTCTATCTGGTTTAGAAGGGACAAATGATTCTTTCCTGGACTGGACTGATAATGCCATATAGATGATGCCACTATGACTGCATATATTACTCTCAAAATGTACATAATCAGTTGTATATATTTGCATATATTACTCTCAAATGTGTATGTATATATATATATATCAAATATATATAAATATATTTGCATATATTACTCTCAAAATGTATATAATCAGTTGTATTACTCTCAAAATGTATATAATCAGTTGAATTATACTTAATATAGTATCCAGAATTGTTTTTTTGTAAAGAAATGTATCTATGAAGTAAATGATATGCATATACAGAATATATATATTTTATATATTTTATTGACTGATCTATATTAACTACATATTATATATAATATATAATATATATTATGCATTATGTAATATATAGTACATATAAATAATATAATTAATATGTTATCTATAACAGATATAATATATTATATAATATATTATATATAATAATCAGAATAATATACATATAATCTATATAATATAATCTATAATAACTATATTAACTAAATGGACCCTTTTTTCATATCCAAGTACATTTTAAGCACATAAGTCATAAAGAAATTACTGCTGAACATGTAAAAAATGTAAAATCAAACAGGAATAACATGTGCTTTCCAACAATTGTAGCTCTGACAAGCTACATACCACAGTATTTTAATGGCTTAAGATAAAAAAAAAATTTTAATCACTGAACTCTATTCATATTCTGACTTCAAATTAAAATAAGTATTAAAAGGAATAAGAATATAGTAGTTGAGGGTCAGAAAGGGCACCAGTATTGTCAATTATTTAAACTTAGAGTTGTTTACCTCTTCTATCTTCACATGCATAAGGATAAATTCTCTCACTCACAGAAAAATCTTTCAAAGTTTTTAATCCACGAATCTATACATAAATAGCCCTTAGGTGAGAGCTTTCTACCTCCATGGGTTTGTTTATAAGTCATTTAATACAGAGAGAAAGAAATGAAACAAGACGAAACTGGAGAGGGAGACAGAACATAAGAGACTTAATTTTAGGAAACAAACTTGAGGGTTGCTGGCAGGGGGGCAGGAATGAGGGGATAGAATAACGGGATGATGGAAACTGGGGAGGGTATATGTTACGATGAGCACTGGGTATTATATAAGACTTGTGAATTACAGACCTGTACCCTTGAAATAATACAGTATATGTTAAGTGAATTTAAATAAAAAATATATAGTCTTTTGAGATCACAATTTAAGAACATCTCAATGATTTTTAGAAAATCATTCTGAATTAAATATGACTAAAATGTGAGATACACATTAGTAACAAAGGTTATATAAAAAGTTTACTTTAAATGGAAATATCCATTTAACATTATAATTATTCTCATTTTAGCACAACCATATGGTTGCTACATGCTATGCACTGAAATAAAGTACCTAAGTTAATGGGAAAGGTCACAGCATACTGCTAAGCAATTCTTTGAATCCTATGCTCAGAATTGGGTCTAGCTATCAGACAGATACCTAAACACACTTCAGTGAATTGGGAAAACTATCACATCTGTGGAGCTAAACACAATATGATTTGAAACTTAAGAGTTACCAGACTAATCACAGACTTTGCAAAGCACACTATTTTCTGGCAAGTACTGATCTTGAAATGCCAAATTATGCTATTAGATACATACACTGGAGGCTTTTGGACAAACTACTCCACACTGTCATAGGCAAAAATTATATCACCAAACTATCCGGAGAAGGTCCTGGATTTCTACTGATACCAATAGATTCATTTTGCTCAGGAACCCTATGAACAGCACTATGCACTTCCAAATATTTTGAGGAATAGGCTATAATCATAGAATAATAATAAAAACTGATCTATATGTGGTAGTTGAACCTGTGGCTAAAATCTCATTGGCACATCTAACTAATTACACATAAGTGTAGCTGAACTTGCGTAATTCCTGGAATGGCTATATATCTCAGTATGACTAACCACTTGTCAATTCACTGAAAATTTCATCATCTATAATTCAAGGAAATTAGTTCATATCATGAAACACTTAACTTTAAACACAAATTATTTTTTAATATTATCGTTCAGAAAGTAAACTATAAAATACTTTTTTCTTAAAAAATTTTTAAAAATATTTTTTGTTGGGGCGCCTGGGTGGCTCAGTGGGTTAAGCCTCTGCCATCAGTTCAGGTCATGATCCCAGGCTCCTGGGATCGAGCCCCGCGTCGGGCTCTCTGCCCCGCAGGGAGCCTGCCTCCACCTCTCTCTCTCTCTGCCTGCCTCTCTGCCTACTTGTGATCTCTGTCAAATAAATAAATAAAACCTTTAAAAAAATATATTTTTTGTTAAAATCTTAAGTGGATCTTTTTATTTCAAATGATAGACCTGGAATTTCTAGAAAGGATTTTAGATTATAAGCCACCCTCTTTTAAACATACTTATTCCATGGGGCTATGACACAGACTTTATTATAAAAACAAAATGTGTAAGGTGTGTGTGTGTGTGTGTGTGTGTGTGTGTACACACACTACAAAGGGGCATGGGTTTATCTAATGAGGAAAAACTGAGGACAGATTTTTCAGGGATACTTGGGTATAACTGCTTTCTCCCTCAGCACTGCTATCGCAACAAAGCTGGTTCCAAAACTAAGGCAGCACGGTGTTTGTAAACATGCAAAGTTTCTCCTGGATTCATTCCTTTTTAATTCTTTATCTTTGATCATTTTAGCATATCATCAAATCATAAGATAATTACACTAGAGACCCATTTTTTTCCCAATCAACCCATCTTGCATGTAACCACCAGAGGTTGTTCCTTGAACACTTGCTTATTCAAGAAGTAAATCATGGCCGTCATCTCCCTACCCCATGAAGTTAACACTATGCTCATAGGTTTCAGGCAGTTTACAATCTTACTGCACCCAACCATATCCACTTTTTATACAAATTATTATGAGCATATTCAGATTATTTTTCTCAATGATTTCAAGTAGTTTACATTCACTTTCCTCTACATTTTTTAAGAAGACTTCTTTTGTATAATTACAGAATCTCATGAAGTTGTGAGGATAGTACAGAGATAGAGAACTTCCTTTATCCCTTCATTTAGGATAGGTCTGCAGTTGACAAATTATTCATCTGAGAATATCTTGATTTTCTGTTCCTGAAGACTATTTTCAATGCATAGAGAATTCAGGTTAACAGTTCTTTCAGCGTATGAATGTCATGCCACTTTCTCTGTCCTCCGTCTTTTCTGGTGAGAAGTCCATGGCCAGTGATACTGATTTTCCCCTGTAGGTATGTTGTTTCTTCTCTGCTTTCAAGATTTTTTGTCTTTAGTTTTTAGAAGTTTGACTATATTTCATCTTGGTGTGGATTTCTTTGGGTTTATCCTGTTTGTGGCTCTTGAATCCATAGATTTAGATTTAGGTTTCTTGATAAATTTGGAAAATTTTAAGCTATGTTTCTTCAAAGACATTTATAGTCCTAATCTCTTTCCAGGTCTCCAATGACACAAATGTTAGACCTTCTGTTATGGTTCCACAGGTCTCTGCAGCTCTATTAATTTTTTGTTTTGTTTTTCAGTCTATTTCCTCTCTGCTGATATCTTCAAGTCACCAGTTCTTCCCTCTATCCATTTTATTGTTGGACCAATTCATTTAGCTTTTTATTTTGGTGATAGTATTTTCACTTCTAAAATTTCCTTTTGGATTTTATTTCTTTGCTGATTACTTTCTAATTTTAAATTTGTTGCAGGTGTGAGACAAATACATGTGTGGAGGGAAAGGTGGAAGTTTGGGCCTGTTAACACTGAGTGATAATGAAACTCCTTAACTTTCTAAGTCTCCTGTGCTATAATCCTAGCAAGGAGCAGCAAGGGTGTCCCATTACTGACAAGTAAGGAGGGAAGTCCAGGCTATGCCCAAGTCTTGCTAGCAGGATTTTCTGTGGTGTCTGGCTGGATTAAAGTGGTCACTTCCTACAAAAATGTGTCTTGATAGCTACCCCTTTCCTGGTCCTTTTGCTAGAAAGAGTAGGCATTTATTGACCCCCACCTTTTTATCCTGCATCTAATGGCATTCTTAATCACTCATTCTAGGATATAGGAGGCAAAAAGAAAATCTAGGGAATTCATCTCTGAGCTGCCCATAGATTATATCACTAGTCTCAGAAAATATAATTGCTCCAACAACAAAATATAAACATTTTTATTTCCAACTTTTAATTTTATAAAAAATAATATAAATATGAAAACTATAAAGCATGGCTAATGAAATTGACAATTTTAGTTATCAAAAAAAATCTACCTTATATTTCCATTAGAACCTTTTTCTTAGATCTTTATTCAAAATAATGCTAATTTATAAATGATAATTTTTAGAAAACAAATGCACATGTAAATACTTGAATATAAAATAATTTATTTGCTAGTTTAGGAAACAAAGCTATTCCCCCCAAATAAAATTTCAGTTTCCTTAAGAGTGACTAAACTTACTTGGCTAGATGTGGCAGAGTTTCAAAATATGTGTCAATTAAAAAGTCTATAAAGTTTCCAAAAATATAGCAGTATGGTATATTCAAGTGAAAGCTGGTGAAACTGAGCAAAACCTAGTTAAGGCAGCAGTCTTCCAATTGATTTAAAAAAAAGTTTAGTAATTTCTCAGATTTCAGTATTTTTTGGCAGTTTTTATGCTGCCTAAAATTTTATTGTCATGAAGGGGTGAAAGTCAGTGGGCCTCTTTTTTGCCTTCCCACTGGCCTCCCATTTCCCTGCATCTTAAGTTGTAATTTTTGTTTTCTAGGATCATAATTTCTCAGAAGTCAATGGACTTCTGGGATCAGTGTTATGTACTCCAGACATGTCAACACTAATCTTTAGGAAAAACAGCTTTCATTAATACAATTTTCATAACAAAAACACCCCAAAGATTAAACAACATACTTACTACTTCCACTGATTATATCAGGTCTGGCCTTCATCATTTTGCAAAATTGTCTTCGGCAGTTTTCTATCCACTCAGTTTGTTTATCAGACATTTTGAAGCATAACAGAAGTTTGGCAAGATCATTGTCTAATAAGAAACATGGCATGTTATATTATTATAATGAGATGCTAAAAACACTGAAAAATAAGTATTAATGTTAAATATGTAAAAAATTACAAATTCTAGAAATAGTATTTGGCTTTCAAAAGAAAATACATTTTTCTATAATGACGTCTTATGCCATCAATTATACTTATAAAAAGCCTATAAAATGAATTCATTAAAAGGTCACAAAATGGATTGACTTATAACTATAATTCTTTTTTTTTAAAGATTTTATTTATTTATTTGACAGACAGAGATCACAAGTAGGCAGAGAAGCATGCAGAGAGAGGAGGAAGCAGGCTCCCTGCTGAGCAGAGAGCCCAATGCGGGGCTCGATCCCAGGACCCTGGGATCATGACCTGAGCCGAAGGCAGAGGCTTTAACCCACTGAACCACCCAGGCGCCCCTATAACTATAATTCTTGAATGTCTTCTTATCTGAACATGATTCATTACTGATATCTGAAGTAACAGACATCAAATAACAGATGTGATAGACGTAAGATTTCAATATACAGACTGACATGAATTATACACATGCATATTCAGACACAATTTTATTCACTTCTTTAAACCAAAAAGAAAACATAAGCACAGAAAATTTCTAGTCAATTATTTATTTCCACTTCTTGCAAAAAATTACACCAATAACGAGTGGTGCTGAAAGAGTATGGCTAAAATATAACTTCTTGGGGCACCTGGGTGGCTCAGTGAGTTAAAGCCTCTGCCTTCGGCTCGGGTCATGATCCCGGGGTCCTGGGATCAAGCCCCACGTCAGGTTCTCTGCTTGGCACAGAGCCTGCTTCCACCTCTCTCTCTCTCTGCCTGCCTCTCAGCCTACTTGTGATCTCTGTCTGTCAAATAAATAAATAAAATCTTTAAAAAAATAATAAAATAACAAAATAAAATATAACCTCTTTCTAAGCAATTTCATGAATACACAGCAACTTTCATATAATTTTATTTTTCCATTTTAACTTTAATTTCATTCCCATGAGACTTTTCCATCTTCCATTTTAATATCATTCACATGAAATTTTATATTAGAAAATATCTATAAATAATATATTAAAAAGGATGCAGGTGTCCTTAAAAAAGGGATATAGAAGCATACAGGTATAGGTAGTCACATAAACTCATACCTTTAAATACTTTTCTTGAAAGAGATTTTAGAATCAAAAAGGAAAAAGAGCCTTTTAAAATAAAGGGTCAGGGACATCTGGGTGGCTCAGTTGGTTAAGCGGCAGCCTTCAGCTCAGGTCATGATCCCAGCATCTTAGGATCAAGTCCCACATCGGGCTCCTGGCTCAGCGGGGAGCCTGCTTCTCCCTCTGTCTCTGCCTGCCACTCTGACTGCCTGTGCTCACTCTCTCTGACAAATAAATAAATAAATAATATTTAAAAAAATAAATTAATTAAAATAAAATAAAGGGTCAAAGTCCTGATGCCCCTGCCCAATGATGTGTCTGGGAACACTAACACTACAGAATATATCTGCCAAAGCTCTCTTTCAGCTGATAAATCCTATCAGGAAGATAAGAGTGGTCAATGTAATATTAGGAGAGAGTTTCAATCACACAGTCCTCATGGTGATGATATCTAAAATAATATGTTTAAGTATATAAATCATAATTTATTTAAATATGTCCCTATTTCACATGTAGGTCACACACACACACAAAAAAAGTCCACCTCTCATCAAAGCTACATAGTCTTTTATACAAACACGAGTATACAAATAAATATATTCAAACATATGCATACTCACACAAGTATACATATGACCCAGAATGAATTGTGTTATTGAAAGAATGTGTAATTCAGATATTCAGTTCTAATATATTCTCTGAATATTAAGACCAAGTGATCCTGTAATATTTCATAAATAGCATCAATCAGAAGCAATAACTAGAGAAAAATTAATGTTATTAAGTCAAAGGAGAAAATTATTCTTTTTAATAAAAACTCTCAAAACCCAGGAGGAGTCAAGATGGTGGAGAAGTAGCAGGCTGAGACTACTTCAGGTAGCAGCAGATCAGCTAGATAGCTTATCTAAAGATTGCAAACACCTACAAATCCAACGGGAGATCGAAGAGAAGAAGAACAGCAACTCTAGAAACAGAAAATCAACCACTTTCTGAAAGGTAGGACTGGCAGAGAAGTGAATCCAAAGCGACGGGAAGATAGACCGAGGGGGGAGGGGCCGGCTCCCAGCAAGCGGCGGAGCAACGGAGCACAAAATCAGGACTTTTAAAAGTCTGTTCCGCTGAGGGACATTGCTCCAAAGGCTTAACCGGGGTGAAGCCCAGGCAGGGTCAGCGTGGTCTCAGGTCCCGCAGGGTCACAGAAGGATCGGGGGTGTCTGAGTGTCGCAGAGCTTACAGGTATTAGAACGGGGAAGCCGGCTAAAGAGACAGAGCCGAGGAGTGAGCTCTCAGCTCGGGGTTACCTTGAACCAGTCGCAGGCTCGGTGAGCTCGGAGCACGGCCAGAGGCCAGGGTGACGGGAGTAATTGGGCGCTGTTCTCTGAGGGCGCACTGAGGAGTGAGACCCCAGGCTCTCGGCTCCTCCAGGCCAGAGACTGGGGGGCCACCATCTTCATTCCCGCCCTCCGGAACTCTACGGAAAGCGCTCAGGGAACAAAAGCTCCCAAAAGCAAACCCCAGTGTATTACTCAGCCCGGCCCCTGGTAAGGGTGGTGCAATTCCGCCTGGGGCAAAGACACTTGAAAATCACTACAACAGGCCCCTCCCCCAGAAGATCAACAAGAAATCCAGCCAGGACCAAGTCACCTACCAAGGACTGCAGTTTCAATACCAAGGAGAGCAGCCGAATTCCAGAGGAGGAGAAAGCAAAGCATGGAACTCATCGCTTTCTCCCCATGATTCTTTAGCCTTGCAGTTAATTTAATTTTTTTTTCTTTTTCAATTTCATTTTCTCTTCTTCTGCCAAATTTTTTTTAACTTTTACCCTTTTCTTTTTTAACGTTTTTAAACTAGTTTATCTAATATATATATATTTTTTTCTTTTTTATATTTTTTCTTTGTTTTCTTTTAATTTTTTTTTTCTTTCTGAACCTCTTTTTATCCCCTTTCTCCCCCCTCACAATTTGGGATCTCTTCTGATTTGGTTAAAGCATATTTTCCTGGGGTTGTTGCCACCTTTTTAGTATTTTACTTGCTCCTTCATATACTCTTCTCTGGACAAAATGACAAGGCGGAAAAATTCACCACAAAAAAAAGAACAAGAGGCAGTACCAAAGGCTAGGGAACCTAATCAATACAGACATTGGTAATATGTCAGATCTAGAGTTCAGAATGAAGATTCTCAAGGTTCTAGCCAGGCTCGAAAAAGGCATGGAAGATATTAGAGAAACCCTCTCGGGAGAGATAAAAGCCCTTTCTGGAGAAATAAAAGAACTAAAATCTAACCAAGTTGAAATCAAAAAAGCTATTAATGAGGTGCAATCAAAAATGGAGGCTCTCACTGCTAGGATAAATGAGGCAGAAGAAAGAATTAGCGATATAGAAGACCAAATGACAGAGAATAAAGAAGCTGAGCAAAAGAGGGACAAAAAGCTACTAGACCATGAGGGGAGAATTCGAGAGATAAGTGACACCATAAAATGAAACAACATTAGAATAATTGGGATTCCAGAAGAAGAGGAAACAGAGAGGGGAGCAGAAGGTATATTGGAGAGAATTATTGAAGAGAATTTCCCCAATATGGCAAAGGGAACAAGCATCAAAATCCAGGAGGTTCAGAGAACCCTCCCTCAAAATCAATAAGAATAGGTCCACACCCCATCACCTAATAGTAAAATTTACAAGTCTTAGTGACAAAGAGAAAATACTGAAAGCAGCCTGGGAAAAGAAGTCTGTAACATACAATGGTAAAAATATTAGATTGGCAGCAGACTTATCCACAGAGACCTGGCAGGCCAGAAAGAGCTAGCATGATATATTCAGAGCACTAAACGAGAAAAACATACAGCCAAGAATACTATATCCAGCTAGGCTACCATTGAGAATAGAAGGAGAGATTAAAAGCTTCCAGGACAAACAAAAACTGAAAGAATTTGCAAACACCAAACGAGATCTACAGGAAATATTGAAAGGGGTCCTCTAAACAAAGAGAGAGGCTAAAAGTAGTAGATCAGAAAGGAAGAGAGACTATATACAGTAATAGTCACCTTACAGGCAATACAATGGCACTAAATTCATATCTCCAATAGTTACCCTGAATGTTAATGGGCTAAATGCCTCAATCAAAAGACACAGGGTATCAGAATGGATAAAAAAACAAAACCCATCTATATGTTGCCTACAAGAAACTAATTTTAAACCCGAAGACACCTCCAGATGTAAAGTGAGGGGGTGGAAAAGAATTTACCATGCTAATGGACATCAGAAGAAAGCAGGAGTGGCAATCCTTATATCAGATCAATTAGATTTTAAGCCAAAGACTATAAGAAATGAGGAAGGACACTATATCATACACAAAGGATCTGTCCAACAAGAAGATCTAACAATTTTAAATATCTATGCCCCTAATGTGGGAGCAGCGAACTATATAAACCAATTAATAACAAAATCAAAGAAACACATCAACAATAATACAATAATCGTAGGGGACTTTAACACTCCCCTCACTGAAATGGACAGATCATCCAAGCAAAATATCAACAAGGAAATAAAGGCCTTAAATGACACACTGGACCAGATGGACATCACAGATATATTCAGAACATTTCATCCCAAAGCAACAGAATACACATTCTTCTCTACTGCACATGGAACATTCTCCAGAATAGATCACATCCTCAGTCCTAAATCAGGTCTCAACCAGTATCAAAAGATTGGGATCATTCCATGCATATTTTCAGACTACAATGCTCTGAAGCTAGAACTCAATCACAAGAGGAAATTTGGAAAGAACCCAAATACATGGAGACTAAACAGCATCCTTCTAAAGAATGAATGG